AGTTGAGGATAGAAATCAGACTTCCTGGCTCACATCCTAGCTCTACCTACCATATATTGACTCTTAACCTCCTATGCCTCAGTGTCCTTATTTTACATTTTTCATGATGATAGAACTTATCCTACCAATGTTCTATTAAAGTAGTTTAAACATAAACGAAGTTTTCATAAACTTGGAAGTAGCTGTTGAGTTTTCGCTGATGTTCTCTAGATGTCTATTTCAGTGTAAATTATTTTTAGAAAGTAGTGCTCAGAGTAATAGAATCTGAGTGTAGCAAACAAAAGGGAAAGACAGTATTGATGAGTTACCTTTTAAAAAAAATTTTTTTTAAGATGGATGAGGTATTGGGAACTGAACTCAGGGCCTGCACTTGCTTGGTAGGTACTTACGATATGAACTGTAACCCGACTCTTTTTGCTTTAATTTTTGGATGATAGGCCCTTGCATTTAGGCCCAGGCCTACCTGGACTTCAATTTGCCTATTTCCACGTCTTCATAAGTGTGAGCCACCGCACCTAGCTACTTTTTGAGATGGAATCTTGCTAATTTTTATGTAACTCAGCTGGTCTCAAACTGTCTTTTTCTCAATCTTTGCCTCCCAAGTTCTGGAATTACTGATAGGGACCACCACGCTCAGTCTTTTCCTCCCTTATTTTAAAGAAGTGTAGAATTGAGCTTATCTATAAACTAATGTTGGCTCATTTCTAAGACCACACTTTTTTTAGATTGATTTTTTTCCCCAGTAAGATGGCAACCACTTGAGTTTTATTCCTTTTTGCTTTTTATTATGTACTTTTAACTATATATATACATACATATATATATATATATATTTCCTATTCGAAAATCTGATTTGCTATAACTTCAGTTTCCTAACCTGAACCCCACAGTATTAAGATTTGAATTTTTCAGAGCCTTGTGCTTTTTTACCTCAGGTAATGATGTCAAGATGAACAGCTTTTTCTCTGTGTTATGTAATCCCTCTGGTCCCAAAGGAGAATACCATGATGCACATTATAGGTCTGAAGGCCTTCTTATTTCACATACCAATTTCTAACTCAGTTTCCACTGTTCATGTTTGGAGTCATGCTTGCTGATAAATCATTTCTTGAGTTTGAACTATTCTCAGAAAGCTTTGGTATTATTTTTTCTGATGGAAGTTTTTTTTTCATTATTTTAATGTTTCCTTATAGCTGTAAGTTTCAAGCTATTAAAACTTAGTAAAAATTGGGAAAGATTATCTTGACTAGTTAGTGGTCTCAAATATACCAGATGTAGATACCTAAATATTTATAGACTTTTTGTAGCATCAGGCTTACCTGGGTATTTATCATCTATTTATTTATTTATTTATCTGTTATCATTTTAACTATTTATCATCTTACTATCATCTAACTCTTTTTTTTTTTTTTTTTGTTGGTTGTGGGGCTTGAACTCTGGGCCTGGGCACTGTCCCTCAGCTCTTCAGCTCAAGGCGAGCGCTCTACCACTTGAGCTACAGCGCCACTTCCAGTTTTCTGGTGGTTTATTGGAGATAGGAGTCTCACGGTCTCTCCTGCCTGGGCTGGCTTTGAACCGCGATCCTCAGATCTCAGCCTCCTGAGTAGCTAGGATTACAGGCGTGAGCCACCAGCGCCCGGCTATCATCTAACTCTTATTTATCATCTAACTATTTTATCTAACTAGTTTTAGTTTCTTTGCTCATTTGCCACTTGAGAGTTAAAAGAAGAGCTTACTTTTCATAATCTTACAGGAGAACTTACAGTGTGATGGTCTTTTATAAACAAAGGCACGTTTTCTTTTAATATTTAAACTCTATAATCAGTCCTTAATAAAACTTCATTTTGCTCTGCAGTCGCTGTTATCAGCACTTAGTATCATCCTATTTACTCCATATGTAGTATGTACTATAGATGTTTTTTTTGGTGGTGGTGGTGGTGGTTGTGGTGGTTGTGGGGCTTTAACTTAGCCTGAGCACTGTCCACTCAAGGCTAGTGCTCTATCACTTTGAGCCACAGCTCCACTTCTGGTTTCCTGGTGGTTAATTGGAGATAGGAATCTCAGGGACTTTCTTTCCTGCCCAGGCTGGCTTTGAACTGTGATCCTCAGATCTCAGCCCTCTGGATTACAGGTGTGAGCCATCAGCACCTGACTACTATAGAGTATTTTGAATGAGACCCTTTGGCTTGTGACTGTCCTATTAGAGGACCAATACCTTGAAACTGCTGTTTTCAATCTGCATTTAATAAAAGCCATAGTTATAAAGTCCATTTGAATATTGTGAGGGATTGGCACATCCATATCTTTTTGGTTTGTATTATTTGAAAAATGACAAGTTGTTTTTCTATTTATATTAACAGTTTATCTTTTATGAATTACATATGTATACACTTTGGTATATACAAGTGGTAGTTAAGTAGGGAGAGAAGTTTCTATTTCCTTTTCCTTTTCCCTGATGAGCCTTCTAGGGATGCCTGTCAACTTGTGGCAGTCTGTCTTAAGGCACTTTGTGCTTAGATTCTGACCTTGGGATGCAAAATCCCTTGTTCCTTGGCAGCTTATAAGCAGATGGTGACAAGATTGTTGGTGACAGTGTACTCTCAATTTCATGCAAAGAGCGTTTGGATGTCTGTGCTGTACTCCTTGTATTTGTCCATGTGACAACTTTTTATTTTAATACTCATGGCATTTAAATGCCTGATTGCATCCTGGGAGATTCATTTCACTTTTAATTGGGAATCCCTTTGCTTAGACGGCCTGTAGGACTTATTGTTGTCAGAGGACCCCTGGGAGGTCTACATTTTGATGCTGTTTGCTGTGGGCTCTCTCCTCCAAGTTGTTTCTAGAATTTTGAGCGTTTCTAGGTATGGTTATTCGTACTTAGCCACAAGTCCACCCATAGGCACTGTCGGTTGTCCGTGAGGTGCCACTGTTCAGATTGTGAGTGCGTCCATAATATCTCTCTCTTATTTGCTAGGCAGAAGATGGTGTTAGTGATTTCAAGCTGCTGGCTGCACCCTGCAGAGCAGGAGTGAGTGAGTGCTGTTCAGCTCTCCAGTCCTGTGAGTCTGATGCCTTTCCTCCATGTTTTGGCATCACTGCCAAATGCATTGAAACCCTTCGTGATCATCGGTTTGTTGGATTACTATATTGTTGCCAAGAGTCTGTCCAGGTCCTTTGTATCTTTTTTCTTTTTCTTTTTCTTTTTTTTTTTTGTCACTTTAGTGTATGTCCTTTGTGATGGAGAATAGGCATTCATGGTGAAAGAAGGCACAATATATACCAGAGCCATACTAGAAATTTGAGAGGGTAGACACTTGGCCAAGGAAAATGTTTTAGAGCACCAGTGTTGTCAGTCTAGATGCACATGCGCTTTTGTTTGACAAATGGACTTTGGGGCATCCCTGTGGGGCCACATGTGTTTCTCAACACTTCACTCGTTTTCCTTGTGGATTGTGTCATGGTATGATGTACTATTGCCTTCTGCCAATGTCATAGGCCAAAAGGTTGTTTTCCATTTGCTTGTACTGCACATCATAGATGCATAGTAGCACTGAAGCACAAGAAACCAGCAAGGCTTGGCTGGCAAAGGGCAGACAATCTTTCAGTAACCTCTGCTGTCCTCTTCTGCTTGGGAGTGAGTGCCACCTAGACATATGGCAGGCTCATGTGCCCGGCCAGGGAACAGGCTGAGAATGCTGTAGGAAGGAGGCCCCACCAGTATTCAAAAAGTGTGGAATCGAGATGTCCCCATTACCATCAGGCTTCCAACAGAAGGGTGGTGTGGCGCCATTTAACCCAGTCTGTTTGTAAATAGCTATTATGTGAGATAAGGGCAACCCATAGATAGACCTCTGTACATCTTCCTTAAGCAGCAAGTCTGTATCTTCATCTCCTTTGTTTGCTTTTGTTGAGTAGGGCCTTAATATTTGCTGTATTGTTGCAGTCTTTCTCTTTTTCAGTGTTATGGGTAGAAGTTCACTGTACACTAAAGAGTACTTACTTCATGGTTAAAGTCAGAGGTGTGTGTGCTTGTGTCTGTGGCTGACGGTGGTCATGGGCAGCATACACTACACTGGGATGGCCAAACACTTTCCCTCTCTGTAGAAAATGTCCAGTGTAGTTCACGTAGCATGTGGAGGCTAGCTTTGAATGCATAAAGTTACTTCTTATAGTCCCAGACCCCTTTATTCCTTCCCATTGAAACTGCCCACTTGTAGTTCTCTAGAGAAGAAACTTGGAATGAGAAGAAAAATGGAATGAGAAATTCAGATCACTAATTACAAATAAGTGAACTTTTCTATTCTTCAATATTTATCTCTTTCCTGCTTTCCTTTCTCTTGGTGACTAGTGAAGGGATATTGTGTTAAAGGAGCCATGTCTAAAACATGCAGCAGTTAGGGGGACCGTGTAAAAGGGCATCCTGCTTTCCATAGTAGGTGGATGGGGGAAACACACCTTCTCTGAGGGGATCTCCACAGCTTCCACCTTTATTGTGAGCTGAATTCAATTCTAGACTGTTTTGAGTATAAGAAAGCTTTTTCTATAAAACACAGAGTTGGAAAAATGAGTTTTATTAAGGAAACCTGATTTTTAGGCCTGAAAGTCAAGACCCTAAAACTCCAGTTAATGAGTTCTAGAATCAACAACTTTGATTTTAATAATTATCCTAAATATAAAAGGAAGAAGTTACTGAATTGTAAGTTTTTATTTTACTCATGAAATGATTGTAGATACTGCTATTATATAATTGACTTTGCATGAAGGTAATCATTCAATTGATCTGTATTTTTCACAAATATATATTTATACTACTGATAATAATCAAGCCTTCCATTGTGTTTGCCTACCTGCTTCCCTTAGTTCCCATTCAGAATTTTTATGGTGTATGGTAAATGAGCAGCTTACTAATTTCTTGCTGAAGTAAAATACAAAGTTGAATGATTAGATTTTCTGATGTAGAGACATCTGGCTCATGCTTGTTTTTGTTTGTTAAACAGGAAAAGGACCAGCGCAGCCTAGACATTAACACTGCCAAATGCATGTTGGGACTGTTATTAGGAAAAATCTGGCCCCTTTTTCCAGTTTTTCACCAGTTCTTAGAGGTACTAAATTGTTATTTTATCAAATGTATGCTTGCTTGCTTTAGAACTACCAAATATATTTTATTTAGCCATTTTATGTAACTTTTGCTTGTTGTACTTCTGTGCTTATAGGAATTCTGGTGCCATAATTGCTGTTAGTCAGCAGCTACCTGTTGTCTTGGAGGTCTTGGAGTGCATCTGAGTGTGTGCGTGTCATGTCACATGCATCCTCCCACGTGACAGTGCGTCAGGATAGCCACCGCTCTGCGTCTCCTCTCGTCTCCCAGCCCATTTTAGAAGCTTCACTACTCTTTAGGTCTTCTGTTCTTTGTAATAATAGAAAACTGAGGTTTCCTTGCTTTTATGGCTGCAGATGAATTCACAGTTTTAATAAGACAAGGTTAAAACCCAGCCCTCTGTCTTTGTTACTAAAACTAGTTTATAATCTATTCTTTTCTATTCTGTTCTTATCTCCAAATGATTTGGGGACTACTTACAACATGCCAGTACCATACCGTGTGAACTGACAATATCTCCTTCAGTGTAAATTGTCTTCAGATCTGTGTTAGAAACAACCTAGCACATTCTGTTGACCAAACATTTGGGCTGCTGGTTCTTGAGCTGATTTCATTAGAGGGTCCTACTGCAGGCCCTGCCGCTGTCTGATACATGTGTATGAGGACTTGGGTGTCTCACATGGTATCCTCTTGGCTGTCTTCCCTAAGTCATTTTAGAAAATGCCCTTTGCTGGCAAGGATTGGGGGATGGGGAGAGGAGGATATTGGAGCTTTGAGAAAAATCTTTTTCCCTAACTCTGAAGTCTGTTATTAAAAAGTACTTACAACATTATTACTGGAACTCCAAAGGAAAGTTATAAAAAACAGTTTTAATGTAAGAAATGTTTGTTGACATAATGGTCCATTCTCCATATAGTGTAATTTCTCTGATACTTCCGCAAGATATGCTAGAATGATTTAGAATAGAACTGGAAATGGGTTCTTGCTCAGTGAGTTTAACAAGATTTGAGCTTGAGTGTGAAGGTCCTTCAGCTGACAGAACTTCTGTAAGGAGGTGACCGCACAATTCCAGGAACATCATCAGCTGTTTCAAGACTGGTTATTTCTTTTAATTACTTAGAAAGTTAGCCTAGTAGCCTGTGCTTGCTCTTATTGCTTTTCATTTTTCTTCTTCTATCTGAAGATAACAGTAATCCTTTTACCCCAGCTTCTCTTGTGTTTATATCCTCAAAACCCTTGACTCAACTCTCTTTGCCTTTTATGTATTATATTGTTCAGTGATGTATTTTTAAATCTTAATAGTGGTGAGGATTTTTAAACGTTGGTTCTAGATTTTAGTTTCCAATCTTTGTATGGTGTACTCTACTTTAAAATATCATTAGAGTTTATTTCTTGCATAAGAATAGAACACTTCATATCTCTTCGGATTTCTTTCATGATTTGACTCAAGGCTTGAGTTACTAGTTTTGAATTTTCAGTTTTCTTCAGCAGCAAGAGCAGCCAGCAGAGAGGCCCCTGTGGCACTTACACAGATTCTCAGCAAGTGACTCTGCTGTCTGACACTCAAGCCAATAGCTGGGTAGTGAGCAGTGCTGATCATGTCAGGGTTTAACTCTTTGTTTTGTACTTACTTGTGCCAAGAATGAGACGAAATGCTTTACATAAATCACGTCAGTTGTCTCTTAATCCTTGCAGCTTTACATGAAAGCGCTCTATAGTTTACACATTTCACTTTGGAGGATATACAGTTGTGTTTCTTTGACACGCTCACCATCTTGGGTTAAGTCCCAACCTGATTTTGTAGTGAAATTGCCATCTATTCTTTGATTAGACACATTCCTCTCTTGTTCACCAATCCTCCTAGATTGATTTTAAGTGGTAAAAGTTAACCTTACATGAACTTTTCTAATTTGTTTCATATAGGAATGGAAGCCATCCTCTTTGTTCATTTTAAGTGTCAATAATTCATATTACTTTTTCCTCTGTCAGCAATCAAAATATAAAGTCATAAACAAAGACCAGTGGTGCAATGTGCTCGAGTTCAGCAGAACAATTAATCTTGACCTCAGCAACTATGATGAAGACGGAGCATGTAAGTAGTGGGTGCTGACTGGTCCATCCTTGTGCATTGTACATCTTCCTCCCTAGGGAAATGCCCTGAGCCATATTGTTTTTTTTTTCTCTCTCTCTCTCTCCAGGGCCAGTTTTGTTGGACGAGTTTGTGGAATGGTATAAAGACAAACAGATGTCCTAGGACTTTATGCATAGCAGCGAAAGAGTCACTGTTACCACAATTATGTCACCCATTAGCCATAAATTGCTGTTTGTATCAAAGCGCATGCTGCTTTTCTTGCACTGTCTCCCTTTTGCAGGGATGTTGTGGTGTTTGCTATTGAATGGGCCAGCTCTGCTTGCTGTGTAGCATTGTTCTCTTGGAAGGCTGCTTTGCAGTTTGTATTTACACTACAGATTGGTGAATTTGCCAACGTCCTCACTGTGATTATGTGTATATTGCTGTTTAAATTTTGTATATGTGTATAAAATGAAAAAGCTTCACCTAGAGATTATTTCTGCAAAAATGTATTGTAAAAATAATTTTGTGGCATATTTCTAGTCCCTTTTATCAAAGGAACCAGTTATACTTCATTTGGTCTCAAATGTAGCATTTCAGAAAACCACACAAAACAACTGTTACTGTGGGCAAACGTTGCCAGAATTAACCTTACTGCTTAAGAGGCCAACTTCTGGAAGGAGGTAGGAGTCATAACTTTTAGGTGGCCTATGCCAAATATTTGGTTTATTTGGTTTACTTGACAATATTAGTGTTTTAAAATGGTGAAAGTGATCATTATTTGATGATTTAGACATGTAACATGCCACAAATCATTTCCAACATGCAAGGTATAGGGTTTTGATTTTTAATATTAAAACTGTTGTAAGCTTGAATATAGGTACAAATGAACAAATTTAAGATGCACCTTTTTTAAAAAAATGGAATTTTAAGTTCTCATGAACTTTCTTCAGTGATTTTTTTCCCCTCCTCCTTTGCACTCTTCTAGCCTGTGTTTGTTGGCTAGTGCTTCCTGGCTCACTCCAAGTGAAATGTATTTTGCCCCCTCCCATGAAAGCCTGTTAGCTTGCTAGCAACTTACAGCTGCAGAGCACTTTTAGTTATGGCTTGAATTTTAGTTAAGTTTTCTTGGTGTCTGATTTCATAGGTTGTTTTGTTGTTTCTGGTTTTTGTTTTTGTTCTTTAAGAATAATACTCTGACAGGTGTTTTGTGTTCCATGTTTGTTTCTTTCTTCATGCTAGGCTTTTCCTGGCAGCATGTCCATTGCAGGCAGTGGACACTAAACCACCAGCATTGCGCTAACCCTGTTAGACACTAGGACCTTTCCTTGAGGGGCCTCTTGTTAGTACCTGAGTGATTTGTACAGAAAGGTGATAGCCATTATTTATATGGAGGAGGAAGTCAGAGTAAACAGCATGGTAATTTAGGCTTATATTTTGTCTCTTTTTTTTTTTTTTGCCTTGCCTTTTTTTGAGAAAATGTATTGAGATATGTTTTCACCCCGACTATCTGGTGCTATTGAACAACTAGCTCAGTCCCTAAAGTTTTGTGGAAACACACAATCTAATAATTTAGCTAAGCAAAGAGTTCATCGTGCATTTGAACAAGCAAATGCTGTAATTGTAAGATCCATGCGTGAGTATGTAGGGATTGGAAGATTTTATTGGCTGAAAGATCTTACAGATTTAATATGGCATAAATGAGTAAAGCACACAGACCGGACTACTCTTGACCACGGTTCTACAGTTTCTTTGTAGATGCTGTTCTGATTTTTCTATTTTTTCCCCAACTAAGCCACCAAAGAAAATTTTGTATGTATATACAGTATGTGTGCATATACAAAATCATGGTATGGTAGAATATACCTTCTTCCTTTTTCTACCAAGTAATAAGGTTTGGTTTGCTGTAAAATAAACCAGAAGTTAGAAGAAAAACAAAAACAAACCTCAAACTCAGTAGCAACTAAGAATACTTAACTTTTTTTGTTTATTGTCTCACTTGTAACTTACAAATTAATGCCAGTTTACAAACATAAGTATGTACATACATATAAGTATATGCATGTACTTACATAAGTCACTATCTGTACAGAACATAAAAAGTTGCTAGCAAGCCATAGTCACTGAAATTGCTGGGTAAGCAGGGCTCTAGTGCGTGCATGCGTGTATGTGAGACAGTGTCAGTCAGGCCAAAGACAGGGCTGGTCTGTGGAGAATTGATTCATTTTCAGGTGTGTACTCCAATAAAGTCGTAAGAAAAAAAAGTTTTTTAATCACACTAAAGAGAACAGTTCTTAAATTTGACCAACTACTGTTTTGCTCAAAGCAAACGTAAATCATAGATGAAATTATCTTAACAGTTATGTTAGAATGGAGAATTTTTTAAGCACTAAAGACAGTTAATCCCAAAATAAAAGAATTGTTAGCAATTGTGACAAATGGTTACATTTTATCCACAGTGAACATTTTGGTGATAGAGAAATGATGTGAAAGTATTTCGAAGGAATACTCTAGCATATTTAGAAAACTCAAAAATCTCTAAACTGCCTTGAAAAATAAACCTCTGTGACTACTGATTGCTCTTGGTTTTTCTTGATTTCACATAGTTATTTTTAAGTTAACGGGTCAGAGTAGTAATAAGACACTTTTTTTCTTAAGAAATTGTCAAGTTTCACAAAATGAAACAGTAATTGAGCACTTCTTCATGGCTAGTGTAAATAAATGAGGGTGCCTTCTTGGTTCTGTAGTACCTGAGTCTATATTCTCTCTCTTCTTTATATTTGAGTTCCCATTGCAATACCCTGTCATTATCTGTTCACTGCTGCTATAGGTCAGAAATTTCATTGTTTTTTTTGTTTTTGTTTTTGTCACAAACACTCATAGCGTTGCGTGCACATTTCTTTGAAGCATGAACTGGGAGTTACGTTTTTATAAACCTGACCAGACAAATCTAACTAGATCCTGGTTTAACAACAGAGTTCTGTTGCTTCTTGGTCTCTAGTCTAACAGTGCTTTTGAAATTTATATACAGGAAGCTTTTACAAATTAGTTTTTGCCCTTGGTTTTTATTCTTACAACTGCTAAAATACCTCTGTAAGCCTTATCCTTTATTCTTTCATATGTTGTATAATAAATGTATAGAATATCTGTAAATGAGACCAAAATGTGGGTTGCTTTTTTTCATAAAATGATTTCTATTGGGGGTTACTGTTACATGAGCAGTAGCTAGCCTGTGACTGTGAATGCTTCATGTCGTCAGTATTTGCATTACATCATACAAGTGTGCAAGTCCTGTGACTCCCAGCTTAACTACAATATTGTTATGCCACCTAACTTGAGAACAGCAAACTGTTTTTAGGTTTTAATTGAATTGATGTAAAATGATATCCCATAAATAAAGAAGTATTTGTGTTTGGTTTCAGAACTGATTTGGAAATTGTGTTTTCTTTAGCTTTCTCTTCAAAATCCATTTGCAGTGGTTTTTTAAATGTTTTATTTTTTAAACTAAACCACTGCCTGTGAGTTTGATCACAAGCACTCAAAACATTGAGCAGATCTGTAGCACTTGGTTTTGTAGACCAGACAGGCCTTGGAATCACTATCCTCTTCTTCCATCTCCCAAGGGCTGAGATGCCATGTGTGTGTGTGTGTGTGTGTGTGTGTGTGTGTGTGTATGTGTATGTGTGTGTGTGTGTGTGTGTGCCACCACACCTGGATTTTTCTCATTTTTCTACTGAAAATAATTTAAAGCTACATAAAGAAAAATGAATGTTGTAATTAACACTATGTTTTAATTTGGGCCAAAAAAAGCAGGATGAAACCAGAAATGACTAGTCTTCCAGACACCCAGAAAGAGAGAACATGGTGAGTAGTGAGTGGAAACAAAGGGAAAAACTTAACCCCTGACTGATGGGAAGGAGAGGGAGGAGACGGGTTTGGACAAGGCATTTGGGCATTCTCAGCCTGGATGTGGCCAACAACAGAAAAGAATGCTTATCCAGTAATAGGAAATAGCACAAGATGGGCTCTACTGGACAGTATTGTTAGTTCACATGGAAATGAACAGGAGCTACACATTTTCCAGCAGTGGAATTGGAATATGATAGAAGGGAGAGAATAAATCACTAGTGTCTGCCCAAGACAAAAACTCAACCGAGGTGTGTTACAGACATACATACCTATGAAGGAAGAAAATTACAGGAAGTTTACTCTAAAGGGAAAGACTGGTTTTTTCCAGACAGCATCTTTCTTGAATTGTCTGCAGTTAAAGACAGGATATACACATCATGGTTGTTGGAGCATGTAAAATCATATCAAAATCATTTGTTGAAGGCTGTCTCCAAATTCTGTGTAAAAAGTAACTTGTATTCAGAATGTTAGTACTTATTAGTCAGATTCAGAACTATCTTTGGAACTCTGAGCCAGAAAATACCACTTTGGGCACATTCAGCAGAAAACTTGTTTCCCTCTGTCTAAATGTATTCATAACATTTCTCCCCGTCACCTTAACAACCAAAACAATAAAATAAAAGAATTCCATATGTAGAAGTGCTTTGCTTAGAAATCATGCCAAACAGGCTATGCTAAGAATTGGAAACTAATAAACAAAAATTGGCAATTGTGGAGCTGAGAAGGTGGCTCAGTGGTAGAGTGCTTCCCTTGTATTCACGAGGCCCTAGGTTCGATTCCTCAGCACCACATAAGCAGAAAAAGCTGAAAGTGATGCTGTGGCTCAAGTGGTAGAGCACTAGCCTTGAGCTGAAGAGCTCAGGGACAGTGCCCAGGCCCAGAGTTTAGGCCCCAAAACCAACAACAACAACAACAAAAAGACAATTAAGTGGAAATGTTAGCACTTAAAATGTAAATCTCCTAAAGAAAATTCAAAGTTAAAAAAATTATTAAAGAAAGAAATTCCTTTGAAATTAATCTGAAGAAAATGAGTATTTTGGAATCTGGTGATAGGAAAATGAGCTCAAGAAATTTGTGTTTTGTTGTTGTTTTTCTTTCATACTTTATGGCAGTGATTGTAGTATTCTCTAGAAATTACAGGATAAATGTGTGAGGATAAAGACTTGGAATCTGTACTAATTATAGTAAACTAAAAAGTTTGGGACCAACTTCATATATTAAAAAGACTACTTCCTTATTTTTGTTCCCTTCCCTGTTTTGTTTTGTCTTTAATTCCATTTGGGGGATGCCACAGATACTTCCAGAATCAGTGAGTTAAATAATGAATGCCTTTTAAAACTACTCTGCATGAATCACTTCTTCACATCAGAGTCCATTTTCAAATGCTCTTTGTAATCACGGTGTCAATTGTAAGAAGCATTAAGTTTATAACAATGCATAGAGGAAACTGAGAAAATAGAAAATCAGACTGAACAGTGAGGAGGAATCCACTGGAATCCAGTTACAAATGTTAGACAAGAATAATACAACTCAGCTCGATCTGGAGGCTCTTTTTTGAGAGTAGGGGATTTTAGGGGTAAATCAAGAATCTACAGGTACACTCAGGGATCTTGCTTTGAGCGTTGGTACTTTGCAGACTGGATATCAAGCTAGTAATAATAAGTTTAGAGATAGTCAATAGGGTAGCTTATTGACTTTAGCTCCTTTTTAGAAGAGAAAGTGGTTTGTTGGGCCTGTGCTTTTGTACTGAACCCATTGAACACCTTCCAAGACATGGAGGAAAATGTGGTTCAGAGAATGTAATGTATATTGTTTGGCTTTTCATCCATGGTTCTTGCTTGAGCTATTTTGTTCTGTTTTAATGCTGAAAGCAACAGCCAGGTCCATGGGTGAAAGGTGAATGAGAGGAACTCGACCAGCCCGGACATTCCTTAAGCTGCTGAGGCTCTACTGGTCCCTACCTATTATGGCCTGCGTGAGCCTTCTGCTGCCTTGGGAGGCTGGAAAAAAAGGAAGTGCAACCAATTGGAGGAAGTTCACAGAATGGGTTCCCGATGCAGTCTGTGCTGGGAGGCAGCACAGAAGCCCTAAGAGCCCAGCAACTCAGCAGGCAGGGAAGCAGGACAAGGCCCTGGAGGGAGAAAACTGCTTGCCAAACACACAGCATTGAATATTATGTGCTAGGCATGATATTAAGATCTAAGAATGAGATCTGATCCACACCCCTATGCTCAGAGTCATGGAAGACCTGTAGATGATTATACCCTGTGAAGATACATTTAAGGTGTTCAAAGGTTGGTGAGGAAGAATGATGGGTGTGTGAGGATTCTCTAGAGAAGCAGAACGGGGGTGGCCACAGAGCATATATGCATTGACTTACTAGTAATTGGCGGTAGGCTGAGCAGTCTTAAGATCTGGAACCAGCAAGCTGGAGACTGGTAGAGTTGATGTGTTCCAACACAAGTGTAAATGCTTCAGAGTGGGGGTGGGGTTGGGGAGCCAGTGGTGTAAGATCCAGTCCAAAAGCCAACAGGAAGTGAAGACCTAAGAAAAACAGTTCCCTCTTACTGAATTTCAGCATTTCTCTTCTGTTGATGAGGCCCATCCTCATTAGGGAATGCAGTCTTACTCTGCCAATTCAAATGTTCTCAATCAAAAACACCTCTACAGACTCTCTCAGAATAAAAGCTGGGCATTCTGTGGCCCAATTAAGTTGACACAAAGTCGCCCATCACAAGTCCACCTTGTATACCCATGCACATCTTAAACCATCATTATACTCCAAATAAAGACAACAGCAAAGTCATGATGCTACCTAACCTGGCATAACTATCCTGTATACAACCAAAACCATATTAATTCTTCCAGAAGAAAAGGTAAAGTATTAGAAAGAAAACATGTGTAAAGGGAATGATGTATGGACTATGTAATTACTCCCAAATTTGTATATTGGGATCCTAGCCTGAAATGTGACAGTCCAAGATACAGGCCTTTGGAAGGTAATTGGGTCATAGGGTTGGGGTCTACTTGGAAGGATTAGTGCTTTTCTAAAAAGAGACCCCCAGAGCACTCTCCACCTCTTTTTGGTATGAGAAAATGCAAGAACTTGGCAATCAGGTCTCGAACAGGGTCCTTAGACACTGTGTTAGCATCAGATCTTGGAATTTCAGTCTTCACAACTGAGAGATTTCTGTAGTTTGTAAAAGCACCCAGATTATGGTATTTTCTTACAGCAGCCTTAAGTGGGTGAAACTGGCGTGCACATACAGAAACATTTGTGATAAAATGGGGGGAGGATGCTTGTGACGATTCCAGTTTTTATTAGTGTAATGGCCATGTGGTCATGTTGCTGGTATTTATAACTTCTCGTTTATTTTCTTTGCCTTTAGTAAGTACATGAGCTGACCATGATTTTTACCTGTTAGAGTGATTCAGGCCTTCATTGCTAAAGAGAATTGGCCCTTAGTAATCTTGCCTGGGTTGAGCTGTAATCATTTTCAATTGACCTTCAGCCTAGGGCATACTAAACCCCTTTTAAAGGACCTTTTGTGTTCCAGACATTCTTTTAGCTCCAATGTAAAGATGAGTACAATTTCCCATTGATCAATCCATTAGCCTACCCCACATTGTAACACACTTTTTTTTTGTCAGTTCAAATGTGTGTGGAACCTAAACTATTCAGAAGCCGTCTGAACTTGCAGGTCAGTAGAGTCATTGTTTTGTCTCTTGGTGGGAGTATTCATCCCTTTGACACCAAGATCTCTTGGTCAAGAAAGCACAGGTGGTCACCGGGACAAGAAGCAGAAATCTTGCCATTAACTTTATATATTAGATGTGTATACAGAGCATATATAGCTTTCTGGAAAATCTTGCCCTGCTACCTTTTGTGTTTTCAAAGAACCCTATTCCACAGTTTTATTGAGGTAGCTTCTTGAGGATAGCAAGGACACACAGTATGATTGCTAATTCCATGGGCCCACCACTGTACTTGTTTTGCTGTGAAATGAACACTTTGATGACAAACAGTGCTGTGCAGAGTACCATGATGTCAAAGGAGGTGTTCATTTCATAAATCCAAATGTGTTCAGTTGGCTAGAAGCGTGCTTAAGCTGCTTTTGCTGAAAAAACACTGACTACTTACTGGGGCCCACAAATTTAACTAAAATTAGGACAAAAGTCCTTTGCCCAGAGTCTCTCTTGCCCTCCCCCATCTCCACAATGACCTCCAGAAAGGACAAGGCTTATCCACGAACATTTTGTGACAGAAGATGAACTGCCTCCAAAGGAAGAGAAGAGCCTGAAGCTCAGGACGGAGACCTGCCTGCTCTGGTGACTTGTTTGCTGCCCTCAAGGAGTAGCTTTGCCATGAACTCAGACAACAAAGAATGAAATAATGGAGGACCAGGCCAAAACTCTGACTGGAATTTAATCATTACATAAACTTCTCCCCTTCTACCTTCAATCCTCTGTGTAGTTAAGCCTATAGTTGGCTGAAAGCTTACCTCTCTGTCCAAG